TATATAATTTTATTATGAGAAAGAATCCACTTACTCCAAGAATAAGTCTATCTATACTTACTCTATTTAATAATTTATATTTTACATCAAATTTCAATGATCCAACCATTAAATTAAAAGTTTTTAATGCTTAAATCAAATATGTTTAAAAAATTTGAAAACTATATGATAGTCTATTTTATTAATTTAAATCAATGTATAAAATATTTTTATGATTATCTGAATTGAATTAATAAAATAGAATATCAACCAATTTTCAATTTTTTTTTAAAATTTACATATTTGATCTATGCATTAATTTTTTTTTTAATTTAATAGTTAGATTATTAAATTTTAATATTGAGTAGAATAAGTGTAAATAAACTTACTAGTAAGCGTAAATAAACTTACTCTTAGAATAAGTAAATTCCTTCTCCATTATTATTATGAAATTTAAGAATTACTATTTTCAATTTTGGTGGAACTATTCAACATCAAACGTATCATTTTACTTTCATATTAATAAAAAATAAAAACCCATTTTGATCTTATGTTGAAATCAAAATTAACCAATCATTATTTATATTTATAGGTTGAAGTATTCTCCTCATTTGCTCAATATCCTTTTAAAAACAATCTGGATAATTTCTTAAATAGATTAATATACTTATTAGAGAAAAATAAATCAAAGAAATAAAATTATTTTTATATAAGTTGAAATTAATATATGGTATACTTCAATTTTTTTTTTTAAGTTTTCTCAATATTTAACTTCTCACAAACACTTGTAAACCTATACTAAGTTTTTTTTATATATAAATAAAGAAATAAATATTTATCTTAATTAAAAAAATTCATAAACTATATATTAATTAAAACTAGGTTATAGTATAGCTTCATATATATTGATTTTATCTTGAAAAATGAAAGAATGAAGGAGCAATGAACCAAATAATTGATAATCATTCTATGACCAATTAATCTGATGATGATACATGATTAAATTGCTTTTTTTAGATTGATGCAGCTGTGAAACGTGGGCATCATTATTTAAATTATAACTAATGACTTTATGGTGTTATTATATATATCGTAAGATTTGAGGTTAGCGAGGAGATTAGTTACTGCAGTCGGCGGTTGATACTCCAGGAACCAACTAAAAAAAATATATCGTAAGATGGTGATCTATCACAATGGCTTGGCCAACGAGAGTTACTTGCATGTTTACATGTATAGATAAGTTAAAGAAAAGCTACTTTCCCTATTAAATTGAATCACGTCATATGTGATTGATAATTGTAACTTGCAATTAATGTTTTAAAGAAAAATTCACATCTCATTACAAAGTATTGCAAAGTTTTAGAATTGTGTATAATATATATAGATAAATAAATGAAGATACATAATTACAAGGTTACAATTACTTTAAAAAAAATAATGCGAAAGAAGTTCAAGACACTAATAACTTGTTTAAAAAAAAAACCACGATAACTTATTGACGTGTCTTTTATCTAAATAAAATTCACTAAATTCTTCAAATGAGATGTGCTGTTCACTACTAGAAATATGTCATTTACCTAAGGATTTTCATGCCATTACAATCTAGAAAATACTTGGTGAGTGAAGGTGAGACCTCGCCATTTACTGAGTGTCCAATCGGATAATGACCGAGTAAACCTTTATGGGTGGGAGTCGATCGGTATCTGGCTCTGAGAGGGAGAGATACTTGGTGAGTGAAGGTGAGACCTCGCCATTTACTGAGTGTCCAATCGGATAATGACCGAGTAAACCTTTATGGGTGGGAGTCGATCGGTATCTGGCTCTGAGAGGGAGAGTCGGCCAAGGTTACAGTCGGGTGAGTCGGCCAAGTTACAGTCGGGTGAGTCGGTCAAGGTTACAGCCGAGTGAGTCGGTCAAGGTTACAGTCGAGTGAGTCGGCCAAGGTTACAGTCGGGTGAGTCGGCCAAGGTTACAGTCGAGTGAGTCGGCCAAGGTTACAGTCGGGTGAGTC